ACTAGGTCCACCGTTTCCCCGCAGCGAGGCTCCCCCCGTTGACAGTTTACGTGGGCTGGGCTGGGTGCAGTGGGGGACTGGCCATCGGGACGAATCCCGATGGGCCGGTACCGAAGTGGGCCGGTCGGATAAATCACTAGCACATCCCCCACTACCCCCGTTGACAATTTACTAGTTGTACCGAAGTGGGCCGGTCGAGAGTCCCGGGCTGATTTTTAGTCCCAGTCCACCACTGGCTACATGACCGTATGATCGCCCATATTGACGTACCTAATTCCTAAACTTCTAACAGATACAAAATAAACCGATCCTTCAGCCTCATATGAGCTCTCAGACACGTTCAAAATTAAACTGTCATGCTGTCTGAGTTTGCTGCCGTGCGTTTACATGCAGATGCTGGGATCCTGAACGGTGCAGCTGGAGCGCTGTGCCCGCATTGACGTCACCCATAAATTGGCGGGACTTGAAGAATCCCCGAGAAGATCCAGGAAATGGTCAACATTGAAGGGCAGATTAATGGTTATCAAAGTACAAATATCCAAAATCAGTTCAGTAACGGTTTTCAAGGGGACAATATTTACTCAAATTGATGGGTTTGGATGATGGGGGAAAATCGTGTCACAGGCTCTTTAAGCTAATTCAAGCACCTGTTGCTGTTTACAGTATAACTAAAATAAAGGTGTTTCTTTATTGATATACTTTCATGTTTTGAGTTCTCTTTCAGGTGCAATGGATTAATATCTTACAAAAGAACATTTAAATACTGTTTTTTGTATGAATTGTATATTTTCCCAACTAAATATACAAATCCTAAATCCTTTTATGTGTCATTTTAGGGTTTTAGAGTCCAAATACATGTTCATTTCATGTGCTTTTATTTTGAACGTGAACTGACAAGAGAAAAAGTGTTGAGCTTGTTCTTGAAATGTTGAGGCGATGTCCTGAGAGCAGGTTAACTTAGAGGTCAGACCTGAATGAGTAGAGTGATAAGGTACTGATGGAAAACTGCGATGGTTGTTTGAAAACAGTCATTTCTACACGTTAGAGATGTTGTCAACAGGGTGAGGTCAGTGTGCAGCATGTCAAGAGTAAAATATAGATTAAATCATTTTGTATAGGGTCAACAGTCAGACTCAATAACTCCAAACAAAAGAGAAAAGCTTTAATGGAAAGCTGGGAAGACATTTATTTGATTTTTCTTGTTTAACAAATATAAACATCTGACGCGAACATGAACAAAAAAACAAAGTGAAGGGATTGTCTCGTATGGAAGCTCAAAGCTGCCTGTGGCTACTGAAAAAACATTGTCCCTCTTTTGGAAAGAGTAAGTGAGAAGGAGTGGAGTCCTGTCAAACAGGACCTGAGAGGGGAACATTAACCCCATACGTCCCAGAGCGTTGCTCCGTGTGCCTCTTCATGAGGTCGTGTATGGTAGAGATGGGTATCTCATCGGCCCTGCCCCTGCGTGGGACCTGGATCAGGTCCACCACGGCGCAGCTGGGCTTGGGACGCCCACGTCTTAACGCCCGCTTCTCCGCCCGCGTCCTGGGTTGCGGGAGCCCGTCACAGATTCGGTTGCAGGCTGTGGTGATGCCACAGAAGGAGGGGTCGTCGGAGTGTGAGGACCCCTCCGAGCTGCCCTCTGACGGCGAGTCTCTGAACATAGGTTGAAGTAATCTTTTGGTGAAGGGTATAGGGTGTGTAGAGACAGGGACACCGTTACATACGACGGCTCCGTTACAAAGTTCTGTTGCCGCGTGGAAAGAGGGTTTCAGAGTCTCCACTTTCTCCAAGGGTTTCATCTTGCGACGTCTCCTCTGCAGGGGAAAGGTGAGAGAGAGAACTGTTACAACCAGTATTTCAAAAACGAAAGGGAACTTTATTCGTATAGAAGATTTCAACAACGGGCAATTCAAAGTGCTTTACAAAAAAAAAAAAGCATTAAGATATAGTGCAACAGAAACACATAAAATCATGACATAAAAATACTTTTAAAAACAGTTACTGAAAAGCCAAAAGTATACAAATAAAACGAGCTCAAATTAAATACAAGAATAAAAGTTACAGTGCAGTGTAAGATACGAAAAGTGTTTTGATATAAAGAGGGCCTTCTTTGCTTATTGGCATTTTCCCTCTCCTGTAGTCGTGTGTTGTATAGGTTTGTGTGAATGTAAATGGTCTGCAAAGGCTAAAATCCTAAAGTTCCCTCCAGAGGGAGTTTCTCTCCCACACAGAGATTATGAGAGATGGTTCCAGATATATGGAGCATTATAACTAAACGCTGCTTCTCTGTGTTTTATTTGGACTCAGGGACAGAAAGCAGACCTGAAAGTTCTGGATAGTTCCACGATAAAATCATCTTTACACACCTTTCTGTTAGCTGGACAAAGACTCTGTGTCTCCCCGGCATGCAGCATGTCTGGGCCTGCAAGACAAAAAACGGGTTAGTTTCCCCATTATAAAGTACGGTTCATAACTAGATCGATCAGATATTCAACATATACGGAAAAAAACCCTGATAGACCTCATGTTGTAGAAACGTACCTTCAGCGATAAGTGATTGTATGAGTGGATAGGATGCACTCCTCTTCAGGCCCGTCTCACCACAGGAAGAGAACGGCCTATAAAGGAAACAGCAACGGTTGAACGGATAGACAGTATGTAGCACCTTTATTGGACATGAGTCACGACTATGTCGTCACTTAAGATTCAGGCTGCGATTCTCTTAATGATTAATCGTATCAATAAACTGGCTTAATGAAAGGAGCCGTTCGAGGCGCGGTAACCTCTGCCATTAGCTCTAACAGCCCATTTGGAGATGCCACTCAGCGCTTATTCACTCTTACCCTACCCATTAGAGATGTTTCTAAGCCTCCATGTACCGTATGCAGAGATACATCCGAGCATTTCATTTTTAAGGTCTTCACACAGCTGGGGCGAGATGAATAAATGACAGAAACATGCGAAAAAAGGCAAACCAGGTAAGGGTTTTTTCTGACGTCATCCCCTCCTCTTCCTGCTCCAAGTAAATTGGTTGCTCCAAAAAATGTCTTCGAAAAAATAAATACATACTGTGATAATTATAGTGTAGGGATTTTATTGTGAAAGGAAAAAATGGAAGGAGTGGATCTGGGATCTGTTTGGAGGATAAAGATTTCAAAATCTTCAGATTATAGAGTCTCAGTGTTGTTTTTTAATTATTGTAAAGACACACGAAAAGGGACCCGTTACGCCCAAGGTGATTGGTTCATGCCTTATTTCACAGTGAGAAAGCAAAAAAAGGCCTTCAGATTTGTATATGAGTTTTGTAAATAGTCATTTGATCATGATTAAGTGTATTTGTTTTAGTTATTTGACTAGTTGTTTAAGCTTCTGTTTTGGCATCAGGCACCGGGGGTTTGGTATGTATTGGTAGAAAGGTAAAGACATGTGTTTTGTTTCCATCGCAAGAGAGGACGTAAAAGAAAAACTGTTCTTTTTATGTTTGATCGTTGAAAGAAAATTAAATGAACAAATACAATTCTTGCCTGAATAATAGACTTTTAACCTGCGTGTCCTGGGGCCTCATTTATAAAACTTTGCGTAGGTTTCAAGTGGGAAGGTGGCTTACGTAGGACAAAGCAAATAAATACGCACACAAATATTCCGATTTATAAAATACTGCGCACGCACGTCCTACGCCGGTTTCCCTTTATAAAATCACAATCAACTCGAAATGCGGCGCAGCTTTTGCGGGCTTCACGTAACGCCCATGTTTTTTGCCTATAAATAGTCAAAGATACTCCCCGTATTAATATTCATTTTGACTGACTGCATGAAGAAGATCACAGGAAATGACGACAGAACAGCTAAAAAAAGACATCTCACACCGTGTCAGATTTTGGTTCTTTTGGGGAGGTGGAGATAAATCACATTGTTTGGTTGATGCAGTTTGAACCAGAGTAGCAGCATGGAGGTCCGAAAAAAGTTAATGACAAAGTACACATAACCTTCCTCAGGCAGTGTGTCAGTGTCTTTGTACCGGGGACAGGGGACAGGAGACACACCCCACCCCACCCCACTCCCCCCCTTGATGAGAAACTGTAAGAAATGATCGGGGAATCCCTCCGGAGTGGAGTCATGGCGACTGGATCTGAATTGTTTTATTTTATTTGGTGGTTTGTGTTCCAGCTGTCTCCACTGTAGCCTGTGCATCTCAACCCCCCCCCCCCCGTCCCTCCGGAGTGGAGTCATGACGGCTGGATCTGAATTATGTTTTTGTATTTGGCGGCTTGTGTCCCAGCTGTCGATCAGCTGTGCGCAGCCTGTGCATCTCAACCCTGAGGGGGGGCCTCAGCAGCAACTCTATATCCACCAGTTAAAGGAAATACAACTAATGTGTTGTGTAATATCAGCTGTACAATTGACCAAATATGGTGTTCTTAGTTTCCATACCTCCTGTGTTTTATGAGCGACTTATCAAGTCTTGACGGCATAAAACACGATTAAACTTGACAGTTTATAAAAACCATATACGTATACATGTTTTATATACGTTATATATGTTAAATCTCTAGGTTGTATCTATACAACCTAGAGAAAAGCAAACCGGCGTCAGTTTAAAGTAATTCTGTCCTGTTTAACGCATCATTTATGAGAATACATTTCTTAACAAGAGAACATAATCGAGGGGTGATCAATAACATTAACGTATTTATTTCTTTCTCCAAGTTAGGTTTTTGTGTGCACTGAGGAGTCTCAAACCGGCAATTGTTTAATCATTTTAAGAATGGCTTTAATCAATTTTTGAAAATTAATTCTTCATATGATAAATGAGGTAACATTATATTTATGGTATTATTTTCACATATTTCTCTCCATTCTTCCTTCTGCCAACGGTGTTGCAGTTTCTCGTCCTTCCCGTTTTTGTGTGTACCGCGTACGGATGGTCCGTGGAGGACCGCACATTTCCCGTCATGTATGTTTTTTATAAATCGCTAAGATTGCTTAGAAACTGGAGTACGCCATCCTTTGAGCGTACGCAACGTTTATAAATGAGGCCCCTGATGTTTGAGCTGCAGTTTGATTTTTTGTTCATTTTTTTGTTTTGTTTGTTCAAGGACAAATCTCCACAACAGATGGTGACATACAAGCCCAAAAAAGCCCATCGTGTAAAGGCCTCTACCCCTGTGAATCTTTTGAAAGATTTGTTCTTTTTCCACAGTAAGCCTGATGCCTTGTTACCTCTCAGGACAGCAGAAGGTGTAGCTCTTGGATGGGGGGGGCTCTGGGTCTGAGGTTGGAGGACCGTCGGAGAAGCGGCAGTGGTTGGCACACAGCAGCAGGCCGAGGCACAGACACAGCAGCAGAGACAGCAGCAGGTAGTTCTGCCTGTCTGACACCTAGAGATAGAACATCCATTACATCATTAGCACAACAGCAGCAACGTCTGATGGGACTAAATTAGAGGCAGAAAAATACTGGGAATAAAAATGAAGGACTGATACTAAGTGTATTTCAGAAGTTAAATCAGTAAAACGTCAACCCATTCAGTAGCTGAAAATAAATGTTTCCAATTGTTGTCAGGGTTGGAGCATGTCATAGCCAAGTGGTGACGGAGAGAGTGGTGCAGTAATGAGTCCTAAACCTCGAAAATGAGTTAGCATTTTACTACTTTTGGTTCTCTTAAAGTCAACAGTTTTGTTGTTGTTTTAAACCTGAAAGGAGGTCTGTGTTTAACACAAGCTTAAGAGATTTTCATATTTTGTTCTATAAAATATGTCACTAAACACCCTACTGGTGAATGTCCTAAAAGTGTGTAAAAGAGTGTCATAAAAAAGTGGTAGATAAGGGGTGGCTAAATGAAACTTCTTAATGTCATCATGCCCAACATTAGATGCCTTGAGCTAAGCAGTGGTTTAGTTTGTTTATAGCCCAACGTTAGCATTTTACTTCCGTGGATGCATTTATGCTTACATTTTTATTTATTTTATCATCATATAAATGGTGTACATATGTGGAAATGATCCTGCTAAACAAGTAAGAATCATAACGTGTTTTAGTCACAGATCTTGTTTTCTGCAATATTAAAAAGACCAATGTAAAAATCTGATAGCTTTTTGTGAAAGGAGCCCTTGTGATGCTAACAACCAGGTCGGCCTACAAAAACAACATCATCTCTACACCTCTCCATTGACCCGTAACTGCTACGTTACAGGTCAGATTTCAGCCTAGGGACTCGTTTTGAATGTCATACCTCTCTTTCTCCCATAACCCCTGCCTCGCTCTGCCAAAAAAATATCCTAAAAACCCCTGACCATGTATCATGCTGATGAGTGATGACTAATCTCTTTTGTAAACCAAAAGAGTATATTTACTTGGTTTCATATGAGGCTGTAAAAGCTCCTGATTACAGACGAAGGCTTTGTGCCTGCAGCAGTACCTACGTCACTCTGCAGCTGGCTCACTCTGACGGACAGGTTGAGAACCAGCTGAGTCACATTCTCCAGCTGGCCCTGCAGCACCTGAATGGAGTCGGTCTGACGCTGGTCCTGGGGGGCAGAAGGACAACATATTAAGCACTACACACACATTCACATCATTCATGCAATGTGAAGGTACGGTGGAGGCTGGTGACTCATGAAACTCGAGAGGACAGGAGGAAAACCAACTAATGGCGTTGTTGAGGAATAATTTGCTTAGGTATTCAACCTTTGACACAGTTCATCATCTTCTTCTTTCCCATGGCATAGGTCTACGGCCTTGGGTATTGCTGCTATCTCTCTTAAGGAGGGGCAGCTTGGGCGCATTGTTGTTGCAGCTTATGACCGAGCACAAGCTGCCATGAGGTAGTTTATTGTTCAGGGACATCTAGAAGCCCTTCTTTTTAGGAATGTAGGTTCTTTTTTATGGATGACAGCTCTAGTT